GGAGACCTGTTCCCTAAATTTGCACGCAGACTCGCCACGCCGGCTCACCGCACCGAGAAAAAGGCTCTCTCGCCTGCACACATACACATACCGCCGTCCTGGGTGCAACAACACGGCGGCGGCGGACAACCCACGGCCGAGCAGCCCGCGGTGAAGATCAAGACAGCCCTGCAGTCGACAGGTTGGCGCCGGTCCGCGCCCGGCCACCCCGAGTCTCTGGCGTCATCGGCGCACCCTGCGCCGCGTCGCGCCGAAGAGCGCGCGCGAGCCGGCGCCGCCGGAGCCGACGCACGTGGCGCGAGAGGCCGCGACGCGAGGCGACAGGCGACGCGGCCGGCCCGACCGGCCAACTGAAAGATCCGTACTCACTCGCGGCGCGGCCCCGCCCTGTTCGTCTTCGCTTCACTGGCAAGATGCGCGCGCGGACCGTTCGACGCGAGCCGAGGGCGGCCGGCCATCGGCGCTCAAGTTCCCTTGCGCCTCCGACTCGGACAGTGGAGTCGCTGGAATGCTCTCCCACTGAGGCCGAGTGGCTCGCCCAACAAGCTATGTATGTACATGGTATCACCAGGGCACGTGTCGCGGTGTGAAAATTTAAAAGTCCCGTACGGCGCTAGCCACAAAAATGTCCGTCGTGTGGCGCCACCGGCGCCGACGGGCGACTCCTCGGTTCCGTCCTGTTTGATCGGCTGCGCGCCGCGGAAGGAGCGGTAGCGTTATTCCTCCGTCTTGGCCGGCTCCTCGGCGGCCTTCTCGGCCTCCTGCGGGGCCTCGGGGGCGGCTGGCGACTGCGCAACAAAGGGGGAACGGCGTCACTGGTGCACATTCAGGGACACCAGAACGCGGCCGGGCGACGACGGCTGGCCGTGACGACAAATTGAAAGCAACCCACTTAATGCCCTACGGTCCCTTCACGAAGCTTTACGATGTCCATTCAGCAAAAGTGTCACGACCGAACAAAAAGGGCTGGGTGACAGACGGACAGAACAACAGCTCTACGGTACGTCTCGACGCGAACATAGTATTGTGCAGTACTGCACGAGGCCGGTCGGACTGAAACCCCAGCTGCGCCCGCAGATGCATGACCGGTGACAACAATAACGCACGTACCTCAGCGGGTTTTTCGCTGTCGGTGGCAGGCGCCGGAACCTCGGGTTCGGCGGGCGTCTCAGACACGGCCGGAGCCACTTCCTTCTTCTCCTCCTCGACATCCGGCACGGCGGGGGCCGCCGGAGGTGCTGGCTCCTCTTTCTTTTCCTCCACCTCCGGAGCAGCCGGAGCCTCAGGGGGAGCAGGGGTCTCAGCATCGGCAGGAGCCTCAGGTGCGGCAGGAGCGGATGGCTCCTCCTCCTTCTTTTCCTCCGGAGCAGCAGGGGCCGCCGCCTCTTCTTTCTTGGGTTCTTCTTTCACAGCAGCACCCTCCTGCGTGAATGCAAATGGCGGGTGAAACGTCGTCGCGACTGCCGAGGCCGGGCTCGAATGACTGTCTTGAATGTTGGCACGAGAAAAACTTGGCAAAAGATTTTCGCAACCGAACGAAAAAGCGAAAATGTTCGCTACTTATTTGCTATGTAAAGTTACTTGAATTCATTCGCAGGAAGACAGCTGGAGTGCAGCATCACAGCGTGAATGCAGCATGGTAAGGCAATATGGTTAAGGCAACTCAGATTGGAGAACGACAAAACACAAAGTTCTGCAGATCAACGCAGGCAGGGAATACGTGGGGACATCAATGCGGTTAAGTGAGGATCAGGAATAACAATGCGAGGGGAACACCCAACGAACGTTATTCACACAGCCAAGAAGTGCGGTCAATAAACATAACATACAGCGCACACAACAAAACGAGACTGCATGGTAATAAGGTTACATAGCAACAAGGACGTCATCAGTTAGATTCTGCCGAAGGAGTTACTGCCGGCCACAGGCGGCTGTTACGGAGTCTTCTACGTCACGTCACGAACGGTCAGCATGCTGTTACTGCGGTACATCTTGTACCTGCGCAGCATCTGAAGCTTCAGCGGACGCGGCGACGATGATGCCGGCCTGAGATTCAGTCAGGGCAGGCGCAGCTTCAGGCTGAAATTCAGTCGGGGCAGGCGCAGCTTCAGGCTGAGATTCAGTCGGGGCAGGCGCGGCTTCAGGTTTGGCTTCCGCTGGTGGAGCGGGCGCTGCTTCAACTGGCGCAGGCGCAATTTCAGGGTGCGCTTCTGCTGGCGTTGCCGGAGACGCTTCTACTGGAGAAGACGCAACCTCAGGCTTAATTTCTGCGACTTCCGCTGGGGCAGGCGCAGCCTCGGGATGAGTTTCTGCTGGAGGGGCGGGGGCTGCCTCTACCGGGGCAGGCGCTACCTCAGGCTGAACTTCCGCTGGTGTTACGGGAGTAGCCTCGACCGGAGCAGGCGCCACGTCAGGCTGAACTTCCGCTGGTGTTACGGGAGCAGCCTCGACCGGGGCAGGCGCCACTTCGGGCTGAACCTCTGCCGGTGTTACGGGAGCAGCCTCTACCGGAGCAGGCGCCACTTCGGGCTGAACTTCTGCCGGTGTTACGGGAGCAGCCTCTACCGGAGCAGGCGCCACTTCAGGCTGAACTTCTACCGGTGTTACGGGAGCAGCCTCTACTGGAGCAGGCGCCACTTCGGGCTGAACTTCTGCCGGTGTTACGGGAGCAGCCTCTACCGGAGCAGGCGCCATCAGGCTGAACTTCTGCCGGTGTTTGTACGGGAGCAGCCTCTACCGGAGCAGGCGCCACTTCCGGCTGAACTTCTGCCGGTGTTACGGGAGCAGCCTCGACCGGAGCAGGGCCACTTCGGGCTGAATTCTGCCGGTGTACGGGAGCA